TTCAGAGAGGAAGGGAGAGGGAGAGATAGAAACATCAATGATGAGAGAGAATCATTGATTGGCTGCCTCCTGCATGCCCCCTACTGGGGATTGAGCCCACAACCCAGGCATGTGCCCTTGACTGGAATGGAACCCGGGACCCTTCAGTCCACAGGCTGACATTCTATCCACTGAGCCAAACCAGCTAGGGCAAGAAGCTTCTTGAATGCAGTGTATTTCTGTTCTATTTTCAGATAACGGATTAATAAATCCTCATTTGTTATCCAAGGAGGAAAATGCAACTAAGATGACTTACTGTAGTTAGTGACTTTAAAGTAAAGGGGCTGTAAGTTTGTGTAAACATTAAATAACCATCACATTTCCTCTATGAATGACTAACCAGATTTTTATATAATAATTCCCATTCTTCAATAATTTACTCTTTTTAAAAGAACTTTCCCTACCCCTCAATCCTGACAAAAGCAAGTCTTTGAGAGAACAAACATAGGGAGGGGACATACTTAGCCCGTTTGAAGAGAAGCTGCAAGGTTCACCATTGCATGGATTTGCACCGTAAGCACCGCCATATGCTGCTTCATAACCCGGATCATATTTTTCTTCCTTAACAGCCATCTTCTTTGCATCCTCTGTGGGGAGGGTGAAAGAGATTTAAAGCTAATTTTGTACAACACTTTTAAAAGATAGCTTTATTCAGAAATCATGAGGGAGAAATCTTTTTCTTGAATGTTCATGTACACTGAGATACATCTTTTGCTATGTATGACCTTTTGCACTCTTCATAACATATACTATATTAACTCATAAGAACTCTTACAGCCTATGAGATTTAATTTTGGGTGGGTTACAATGTTTCTTATATCCTCAACATCTGTAAGACCACCGGGAAGACCTTAGTAAAAGGAGATTCTAATAGTGACTAACAGCCATTATCAGAGTACTCTGGCTGCAAATATAACTGCTTTCTCTTCTCCTGCTTTTAAACCCACAACATGCTTTCTGGAGTGTATACAGACATGACATGAAAACAAGGAGCAATAACGGGGACACACCTTGGGCAAGCTGCAGGTCAAATGTATACTGAACTTCCTGAACGTCTGTGTTTCGTTCAATGCCTTTCAATTGATCTCTTAAGTCTTTCAGCTTAATGTAGTAATGAACTTTGTCCTGGGCTCGGGGGAACTGAGCACATCTTGCACTGGATGATGGCATCACATAGCAGAGCTAGAATCATAAAATTTGACAGTTATAGAAATCTGTTCAACCCACTCCTATGGAGACAGAAAATGTGTCTTTCTCTGGGTTCATGATTTGATACTTATTACTTTAGCAGTTTATGCAAAATTAACAAAAGTGGTTGTGTTTTCCTTTTCATAGCATAAATTACAATGGGTAGAACAAATAAAAAAGGTCAACTAGCTAGAAAAAAAAAATCCACATTGAGCTGATCTGCAAATATAATTTTAAGGACTTACAGTTTCTGTGTCTGGGATCTTGTGGGGTTGAAGTCCAAATTCTAAGTTCTTAACCTTTACTCCAAAAACTTCTTTACTAAAAATTTCATAAATACCTAAAATGAAATGCAAACATATTTACATTGTCCATAATGTTAGCAAAGAAAAAAGATAAAATTTAAAAGCAAACCTTACATTTTCCATTAAACACTGCTATTCGTGGCTGATATTTCTGTAATTTCTGCACTAGAATACGTCCTCCTTCACGAAATTCTTTACTAAAATTAAATTAAAAAGTCATCATAATGTAAGTATGGCAATATTTATAATATACTAAGTTCAGATAGCTTTCCAAGAAAGATCAAGTCACATACTGTTTGTCAAGTTCAGCTTGAACTAGACACACATATATTCCTGGAGTGTATGTGGCACCAGCACGGCCAAGGTTTAGTCTATAACAGTGATGGCGAACCTTTTGAGCTCGGCGTGTCAGCATTTTGAAAAACCCTAACTTAACTCTGGTGCCATGTCACATATAGAAATTTTTTTATATTTGCAACCATAGTAAAACAAAGACTTATATTTTTGATATTTATTTTATATATTTAAATGCCATTTAACAAAGAAAAATCAACCAAAAAAATGAGTTTGCGTGTCAGAGGTTCGCCACCACTGGCCTATAAAAATAAATGTTATGTAATTACCTGGAGAGGTCCTTGCTGCCTGGGGTTGTCCTTTCCACCATATTGGTAAATCCAATACCATATTTTCCTGGTAAAGTGTGATCGTCCATATGGTTCAGCTGGACCTCACTCAGTCCTGACATAAATAGACACTTCCCTGTGAGAAAGAGAGTTTATTTATTCCCATAGAAGGTCAAAGGTTTCTGCCCTATGGGTTGATGTAGTAGTCTATTTTTTAAAAATTGTTCTGCTCTTTTAAAAAATATATATATTTTATTGATTTTTTACAGAGAGGAAGGGGGAGGGAGAAACATCGATCAGGTGCCTCCTGCACACCCCCTACTGGGGATGTGCCTGCAACCAAGGTACATGCCCTTGACTGGAATCAAACCTGGGACCCTTTAGTCCGCAGGCCGACGCTCTATCCACTGAGCCAAACCGGTTAGGGCATGCTCTTTTATATTTTTATAGTTGACAGTATTATAGATATCCCCCATTTGCCCCCCTCCACCCAGTCCCCACCCCACCCCAGGCCGTTACCACATTACTGTTTGTCTCCATGGGCTATGCATATATACATATATATTCTTTGATTAATCCCTTCCAGTCCCCTTCCACCTTCCTCCCCTCTGAGATCTGTCCGTTAGTTTATAGCCTATTCTTGAAATTTAAAAAAAGCACATATTATAACATAAATCAAAAACCATATCAAGCAATTACTGTGTGCTATGTACTATGCTAAGCCCTTTGCCTGTATTATTTAATTTAATCATCATACTTATGAGATATTACTATTATCATTCCCTTTTCATAGGGGAGTTAAGATAAAGGCCTGTCAAGAATACACATCTAGTCAGTATAGGAAACTTTGAAACAGCTCTCCTTTCTAATCATTGGTGATATCACCACCTGCCCGGGAATACCTCAAACAGGTAAACATACACTGATGGGCTTGACAGTGGAGAAAATGAAAAGTTCAAAATTCCTTAGGAAACAACTTTTTAAATAATGGAGACAATATGCTATTCATTCCAAAAACACATTACTATCATTTGCCCTAAATATTTTTTTAATATTTTTTTTTTATAGAGGAAGGGAGAGGGCGAGTTAGAAACATCGACAAGAGAGAAAAATAGATCAGCTACCTCTTGCACGCCCCCTACTGGGGATGTGCCCGCAACCAAGGTACATGCCCTTGACAGGAATCGAACCTGGGACCCTTCAGTCCGTAGGCCGACGCTCTATCCACTGAGCTACACCGGTCAGGGCTGCCCCAAACATTTTTTATGTTACCCTTAGATCATCCACTAGCTGCTAGTTCCCGAGGGCCTACAGCATGCCTTGTTCCATTAGGCCTGCTGGTAAGACGACTCGTATACAGGACAATTCAATAGTTACACATGGTTTTAAAGCTCACTCGACAAGTATGAAGGTCTTTAATACTATTTTCTGCTAGATATGGAGTTTCTGTACAGAATGTCTCCGATCACAGCACTTCTTAACCTGACTGCCAATGAGCAAATATTTCATCTCTCCTAGAAATGCGATGGCGATCAGCAGAAATCTGCAAGGGTCAGTGTTCTGTCTGCACTGGCTCAGCGATGCACTATTGCTGCTACGTCAATAGGTGACAAGTAAAAAAACCCTTTAAAAAAGTAGTAACACTCACTTGAAACAATCCAAACAGAGGAGGAAGTACTCCTTTTCATGGCCCTCTACTCTTGGAAACCAAGTGACATGTCATTCCAAACCTTCTTTGTGTATACACACACAGAAATCATGTATGTATATTGACACATATATACAATCTCTCTAATTAAAAACATAATTTGGTTTAAAAAACAACAACAACCCAAACTATTAACACAGGTATCAAGTTTAAAATTACAGTAATAATAATAAAAAAGTAACCACTTACAAAAATGGTTTCCAGGTCCAGGGTAATGATGCCCTTTGTAAGCAGCCATCAGTCCCGGGTTTATACCAATCTAAAAAAATGTTCATACATTTTAGTAGGGTGTAAGGGCGACAGAATGGTGGAAAAAATTGAATTTATTAAAAGTGTAATCTGACATCATACGCAGTATCATTTATCAATTACCTCCTCTGGATCTGAACAAAGTACTCTAATCTGAGGAAAGAAATTTTCCTTTATATTAAAAGTTTTGCTGTTGTTTTTAAAAACCAGTTTGATTCCCTCATACCCCCAGGCCCACCCCCACCCACTGGGCTGGAAAGAAAGAGGCTCTGGAGCCATCGGTGAGTTTGAGCCCAGGTCCAGCCACAAGTCTCCTTCTTAGCTCCCAGCAAGCAGCTGACTCCACAACATCTGCACAGCTGTCTGCATGCTGTTTCTTACAGTTACAGACAAAAATCAAAGTTTAAAATCAGTGTTACCATTCGTGGGGAATTCACAGACGTCATGCAGTCTGAGTTACATGGATTGTTTACTTTAATTGAAACCCTATGAGAGAGGCACTATTATCACCCGTTTCACCAAGGAGGAAACTGGGGTTCAGGAAAGTTAAGGCTTGTCTAGGGTCATACGCATGTGGCAGGATTGGACACTGGACAGCCCTACTCTGGAGCCCACCCTCTCAAACACTCCCCAGTAATAGGACCTCATGAAGGTGACATCATGTACTACCAAAAGGATTCTCACAAACGGTTCTTTTTCAGCAAAATTATTTGCAAGGATAAAGGTTGAGTTAATCCACCAATGCTATTTATAAAACCAAATGAGGACAGAAATCCTTACAATCACAATGTCCAGATTGAAAGTCAAAATGTCCGGGAGTGTCTTGGTCAAAAGTTCAGCTTCTGAAACACCATTAAAACGGTCAACTTTTCTCTTCACTTTAAACGTGTCTGTAATTTTTTCTTGCTTTTCTTTTGATTTTGCAGACTTGGCAGACTTCTTGGCCTCAGCAGGTTTCTTGGCCTCGGCGGCTTTCTTGGCCTCGGCAGGCTTTTTGGCCTTGGCAGGTTTCTTGGGTTCCGCTGGTTTTTTTGGTTGTCTTGTTCTGGGTTTTCTTTTCCTTCCTTTGGGAGCCTCTGAAACACAATGATTTCCAGGATGTGATGCAGAAAACCGCAATTGCAAAGCCTAGGCAGTTTTCCCAGAAAAGCCACCCTATCCACATCCTTTTCACCTTTCTCCTCAATCTCCAAGTGCCAGTTTCCTCTACAATGTCTTCCCCTTGGTTCACCCTCCAACTGGGTTCATGTGGCCTCATCCACGACCCTCCCTCCTCTGCTGGCTGTTGTTGGGATGAGACCTCCATCAGAATCATCGATTGATTTTCTACACAATCTTACCTAGCATCTTGGCCTCCCCTGGGATACAAAGCATCTATGTACTATTTCATAGGAATTCTACATGTAAATACATGAATAGCTAAGTAAACAAATGACAGAAAAAGTAGACAGCAAAACAGGGAGGAAGGGAAACAGTTTAACTCAATTTCCCCATAATTCCAGCAGTAGACAGCCTCAAAAGCAAGGCCTGTGGGCTTGTTTTGGAGATTCTGAGTGTCTGTTCCACACACACGCAAAGAGTTCTGAACTCAGAGGTGCTGAGGAGGAAACCTCAGGCTGGCAGTAGGAATCTGACCTCAGGACCTAACGCAGAGCTTCTCAGCCTTGGCACTACTGACAACTTATGCTGAATGATTTTTGGTTGTGGGAGACTGTTCTGTTCATTATAAAATGTTTAACATTCTATATATTTTTAAAATATATGTTTTTTTTATTGATTTCAGAGAGGAAGGGAGAGGGAGAGAGAGACAGAAACATCAATGATGAGAAAGAATCATTGACTGACTGCCTTCTACACACTCCCCACTGGGGATCAAGACTGCAACCCAGGCATGTGCCCTGACCAGGAATCAAACCGTGACCTCCTGGTTCATGGGTCATTGTTCAACATCTGAGTCACATGGGCCGGCAACATTCTATATTTAATAACAGCCTTGGCTTCTGCCCACTAGATGCCAGTAGCATCCAGCCAGTCATGACAATCAAAGGTGTCTCCAGACAATACCAAACGTCCCTAGAGGGCAAAATCATCTCTGGTCACAAACCACCGTCCTAAAATATCCAACAGGAAGCCTTGGTTTTCTAACCTTAGTTCTTTAATATCTCTTATAACTTCTCAGGCTCCTCCCCCATTCTACTACTATTTGGCTTTTCTCCACCCTAGCCTCCCGTTCTTCCTTTTTTCTATCTCACACTGCTTTAGCCACTCCTATGCCAAGAGATCCACCTCCACTGGCTTGTAGCTGGGGAAGCCTCAGTGCTGCCTGCCCAGAAAAACAGCGGTCAAGGGCAGGGGTATCCCCAACACAGTGAAGGGAGATGTGTTCCTGGGATCATAACCTGGAACTCAGAGCACATTTCTCATGCAATACAGCTACCCTGGAGAGAGTAGTTGGAGAGTAGCTCTCCATCTCCCCACCCCCAAATCTGTTCTCCTTTCTTCTAATTCTCTAGTTTGGTGAATGGTACCTCCTTTATCCAATTTTCTAGGAATTATTTCCAGATTCCTTTTCCTGCTTGTCTCCCCATGAAATCCATCTACCATGGCCAGTAATTCTACCTCTGGAGTAGTTACTAATTCTGTCCTTCTCCACCCCTTTACATCCTCCTCATTTTGTCCCTAGATTATTCAAAGGATCTCTAATCCACTCCTTGCCTCCAAGTTCTGCTTGTTTTCTACCACCCATTCTATCCTCTGTAATACCTGAGGCTGATATTTTCAAATGCCACTGGACTACGCCACTACCTGCCTACATTCTCTCAACAGCTCCCTATTGCCTTCAGAATAGGATATACATCTTTTAGGCTAAACAAGCCTCAATGCCCCCTTTCCAGCCTCATCTCTCACCATTTCTTTGCTATACCCCAGACTCCAATGTCAGAATCACTGTTTTTTAACTGTCGTGCTTCTTCTTGTCTGTGCTTTGTGCATGCTTCCCTCCACCTGGAACTTCCCCAGCCCTTTCTTCCTGGGGATAACGTCTCCTTCCCCTGGAGTTTCTGAGCTCTGGGAAGCTGCCTCTGAGCCTCAGTCTGAGTTAGGTGTCAATGCCATGAGCTCTCACAGCATCCTATGCCGCTCTTCACTGCTTTGTGTGCTGAGCCATGACGTGTATTTACTTATTATTTTCCCCTACTAGATTATGAGATATTCTAAAGCAGTATCCATATCCCTTTTTAAAAATATGTTTTATTGATTTCAGAGAGAGGAAGGGAGAGAGAGAGAGAGAGGGAGAGGGAGAGAGAGAGAGAGGGAGGGAGGGAGAGAGAGAGAGAGAGAAAGAAAGAGAAATATCCACTGCCTGCTTCCCACACACCCTCCCTGGGGATCGAGCCTGCAACCAAGTTATGTGCCCCAACCAGGTATTGAACCAGAGACACTTAGGTACATGGGACAACACCCAACCAATAAAGCCATACCAGCCAGGACAGGATCCACGTCCCCCCCCTTCTGCCCCGCAAACCTACAGTGCCTGGCAGATACTAAGTACCTAAAAAGTGGGTTAAATTTTTTAACACTAGCCAGGCTGGCATGGCTCAGTGGTTGAGCATTGACCAATGAATCAGGAGGTTGCGGTTCGATTCACGGTCAGGGCACATTCTTGGGTTGTGGGCTCAATCCCCAGTAAGGAGGGTGCAGGAGGCAGCCGATCAATGATTCTCTCTCATCATTGATGTTTCTATCTCTCTCTCCCTCTCCCTTCCTCTCTGAAATCAATAAAAAAATTTTTTTTTAAATTTTAACACTAAAATTCATCATTAAACCCTTTCTTAAAAAGTAGGCTAATCCAATAGCTACTTTTCTATGCTCTCCTGGTGCAACTACCTTGTTCAGGTGCCTGAGCAGGAGCTGGCTCTGGAACTTCCGCTGGCATCTGCTGTGTGTCCATAACTTCCATGTTAGGAGCCTCGGCCATCATTTGTTGAAATGGAAATGTGTAAAAAGCTTGAGCTTGCTGAAGAGAATAGCTGAAAGAACAATTAAATTAAGATAAGAGGGTAAAATTACCCAAATGTAAGTTTAAATGATCAGCTGTAAATAACTTTTCAGGATCCAAATATTTTGAAACCAGAATGTGGTATTTATTTAGAGTTGACAACAGGTGCAAAGTGAGGAGGAAGATCTAGTCTCATATGTACACACTCACCCAACCTTTACTAACCAACACTAATTCACTCTCACACTGTTTAGTGGCAAGATGTGTCCTCAATACAACTTACCAGTCCGTCAAGTCAGCCTGCACTTTCCCTGAGATGAGATCATGGGAATTGCTAGCAGGGAGACACAAAAGGCCCACAAGCCCACACAGGAACACAAAAACAATTTGTGTTACTACCATCAGTATTGAATCCTCTAATCTAACCCTCCCCTGGCTTAACTTTCCCCCCAATTTTGATATAACATTGTGTAAGTTAAAGATGTACAACATGTTGATTTGATACACTTACATACAGGGTGGGGCAAAAGGAGGTTTGCTGTTGTGAGTACACGAAACACAATTTATTCTTGTATTATTATTTACTAGGGGCCCAGTGCACGAATTCGTGTATCTTGAAAGAAACTGTGGGCTGTGAGGCTGCAGTGGGCACAGGGGCGGGTCTTGGCCCATCCTCTGCGCCCCTGCCCAGCCCCTCCTGCTGTGGCCCCTAGTCCCTGTCTGCCGGCAGCCCCGCTCCTGCTGCTCCCACGCACTGATGGCACCAGCCCCGCTTGCAGCCGCTGATGGCGCGGAGCAATTGGGGCCGGCACCAGCAATGGGTGCGAGTGGCTGATGCTGGTCCGATTGCCCCTCAGGAGCAAGGGGAGGTGGAGAATCCCTCAGGGGCAATCGGGGCTGGCAGCCACTGTTCGCACCCATTGACGGCACAGAGCAATCGGGACTGGCGCCAGATGCTGGTGTGGGTGCAAGTGCCGGGTGGGACCGCGGTGTGTGGGAGCAAAAAATTTTCAGTAACCACCAGAGGCTCGCCCTGATGACAGTGACCAGTGCCACGCCTTGGTCTGGCAACCCTGCTCATCAACCACACCATCCCACCGTGGCCAACGCCTGCTATGTTCCGTGCTCTGCCGTCTACTGCCAATGCCCACCATGTTCCGCACGCACCCCCTGTGGTCAGTGCACATCATAGTGACCGGTTGTTCCACTGTTTGGTCTATTTGCATATTAGCCTTTTATTATGTAGGATTAACTAGAGGCCCAGTGCACAAAATTCATCCATGGGTAGGGTCCCTAGGTCTGGCTGGCAATCAGGGCCGATCGGGGCCTTCTGGCTGCCGGCCAGGGCCTTCCTTCCTGGGCCGCCGGCTGCCGGGCCTTCCTCATTCCATGCCATCCCCTGGTGGTCAGCGCATGTCATCAAACTCCTGGTCTCCCAGTTGAACTCCTGAGAGAACACTTTGCATATTAGCCATATATATGTGTGTGTATGTGTATATATATATATATA